TCCTAGATAACCATGAGAGCCATATTAGCCTTGATTGCTATCTACTCTGTCGTGGAAATGGAATTGTATTGTTATCCCTTCCACCACACACTTCCCATAGAATGCAACCATTAGATTTAACATACTTTGGTCCACTCAAATCTGCATACAACAGGGAATGTGACATTTTTATGGCAGCAAACATAGGCCGAAGAATTACTCAATATGAAGTTGTTGAACTATTTACAAAACCTTTTAATCGTCTCAGCAATATTGAAAAAGCAGCCAATGGATTTCGAGCAGCTGGTATTTATCCGTTAGATCCCACAAAATTTAATGATTTTTTTCCAATCAGTATCGTTACACATGAAACGTCATTACTTGATAACATTCAGAGTTAAGAATCAGTTCAGAGTTCAGATACTCAAGCCAAATCATTTGAAGTGTTAGTTAACCTATCATTGAATCCTTCAAGTGTAGGTCTGTCACCTGATGTGAATATAGCCCCTGAACTGGTACTAAATAGATCAAATCAGTCAATATCTCTTTTAAATATTGTCTCTGTACCTAATTTGCCAAAAAGAAAAACCAGAGAAAGTCTAAGAAAAAAACATTCTACTATTATCACTAGTTCTCCAATGAAAGATTTTTTAGAGGACAAGCAGCAAAAGAAAAGTATGAAGGAACAAGAAGTAAAACAGACTGCTGGTAAAAAAAAGAAGGGAGGGAGCAACTTTAATAACTTTGAGGCTAATGATGTACCAAAGAAGAAAAAAATAACGAGAGATGATAAAAAAAATGATTGTTATTGTTTAATTTGTGAAGAAAAGTATCATGATCCACCCACGGAAGACTGGATAAAATGTTATAAATGTAAGTCTTGGTACCACGAGAAGTGCACAAGTTGTGCAAGTACATCAAGAGGTTTTCTCTGTGATTTTTGCTATGAATAACATTTATTGATTTTTTAAATTTTGTTAATGTAACATTTTATTTACATTGAATAACGTTTATTGATACTTGATTCTTTAACGTTTGATTTGTTTAAAATTTGATTCAATAATATTTCAACCCTTCAATTAAGTTTGATTTGCTGTGATCAACATTTTATTCGCTATTACCCAACAGTGTTTGTGATTACCCCACGGTATGTTCGGAATTACCCCACGTGCGTAGGGTAATTCCGAACACCAAAGGTTTTGTTTTTGACCGAATTTTTTATTTTATAATAAGATATATGAAAATTGCTTTTGAGTGCTTCTAACCGAATGGTTAGACTAACTGATAAGCTATAAATATCATCAATATATAGTAATAGTTGTCTTTAATTCGCTTTCCCGCTTAACTGTTCGCCAATACCCCACTTCCCCTACTATTCCTTTATTCACAATTTCGATATTATTCTGATAAGTCCCTTTTCAATATTTTTCTCTTTTGAGCTGTTTCGAGATTATTTTGCTTTTCAGATTTTCGATACTAATCCTTTTTTTCACAATTTCGATATATTCTCTTTTTCGATATTAATCCGAAAATTCCCTTTTCGATATTGCTCTTTTTTTCACAATTTCGAGATAATTCTATTTTTCTGATTTTCAATACAAATTCTTTTTTTACAATTTCGATGTTATTCTCTATTTCGATGTTATTCCGGAAATTCCTTTTTCGAGATTAATCAGTTTGGCTGTTTTCGATACTGTTACTGCTACCCCTTTGCTTCACTTATTATTTGTCATGTTTTGAGTTATGGCTAATTTTAGGCTAATAAAAAATAATTTTAGTTTATAAAAATGAATATACAGCAACCGTGGCGCAGTGATTAGAGCTTGCTTTAGAGGCAAGAGACCTAGAATAAGAATGTAAGCTCTGGGCATATTTCGTACCGGTAATGTGCGAAATATGCTCTGGGCATATTTCGCACCGGTTACCGGTAAGGTATCGGTAAGGAAGGAAGTTTGAACTTCCTAATTAAATAATTTTCCGTTGTACTCCGTGACGAAACCTTCTTCTTGGGTCTTCTTGAGGCACCTAAAAAAAAAATTTTTTTCTTAAATTTATAAAGTTCTTAAAAAATTTCCCTTTTAATTAAATCTACTTTAAAAATCTAAATTTGTCTTTTACTTAAATTTGGGCTAAATATAAGGCCTAAATTCGTCTTTCAGTTAAATTCATTGTTTATTTTGGAGATAAGTTAGTTTTATTTTGGAGATAAGTTAGTTTTAAATTTATTTTGAAGATAAGTTAGTCTTAAAAAAGTTTTAGCTAAAGCACAATTCGATCTGCTTAATTTCAATGCTAAGTCTTGAAGATGCAATGCAAAAATAAATTAAAGTCTATTTTGATTCTAAGTTATTTTATAGAGATAACTAGATTTATTTTCTGCCCAGTTAAGTTGATTGTTTATTTTCTTTTGTTTGAACAGATTAAATATAATAATTACAATTTTTTTCGCGTCAAGGGATAATTTGTTAGAGCGGAGTCATTGAAAGTTTACTTTAGATAGAAAGAAGTGAATTAGGTCGATAATTGAAGTAGTCTAGTTAAGAACCCATTTTGTGTATAGGACTTATTTTGGCTGCCTTAATAAGTTTATGAAAAATTACCATTTTTAAAAAGAATCGTATTCATCTTAGCACATAAAGGTTTAGAGATTATGTGAGCTTTTGAAGAAAAGTTGGCAGACTATTCGGACCAAGACTTTTATTATTTTTAAGAGTATCTTCTATGAGACTCGCTACCTCATTTTCAGTCACGGGATCAATAAAAAAAGAATTTAAACTAGGTATTTTAGGAAAGTTGCCAAAAACACATTTAGAGGGAACAGTATTTTAAATAGTTCGTCTTGGATAGTCGCAAAATAATTATTAAATATAATAGCAACACTGGTATGATCTGAGATGACATTTTCATTGATTTTGCGATTAAAAGACTCAGTATAAGTAGAAGATTTGATGTTTATGATTTTTCCAGGTATTCTTTACATTATTGATGTTTTTATTGAAAAAAAGATGCATAGTTTTTTATCATCGATTTTTTAGAATATCTTAACGTATTGATAATTTTATTTCTGTATAACTTAAATTTAGTAAATAATATATTTATGGTATTCACTTTTTTTTGATCTAGTAAATTTTATAAAGTATATTTTTATTAAAAATAGATCTAAGAATACCAGAAGTTATCCAGGGTTTAGATTGAAGTTTAATTTTTTTTTTGTTAATTCTTAGTATGGAGCATATCGGTGTAATACTTTTTTTAAATTAAGATTCATTTATGTTATTATGAGAAGTTCCCAGTTAATATCAGAAATTTCTTGGGTAAAAGAATCGGAATCAAATTTTTTAATTTCTTTTAAATATTATTACTTTTTTATAATAGGTGGGTTATTAGGAATACAGAAAAATTGTGCCATGTGGTCAGAGATTGAAATTGTGAGATTACAATAAACTATATTAGAAGGAAATAAATTCATAAAAATGTTATCAATAAGGGTTTTTATTTTTTGCAGTTATACGCGTTTGAAGGTTGGAAATAAGGGATGAGAGCACAAACATTCAAAATAATTAGAAACAACTGGTTTTCTATAATTAAATAAATCTATGTTGGAATCGCCCATTAGAACAACACTTTTTGCTTTATAACTTAACTTTTCAAGGAGAGAATTAAAATGAATAGATAAATGATATGATAGATTTTGGGATTAAAAAATTAAAAATGATAGATTTTGGGATTAAAGATAAAGCTAATGAAACTTGGGAAGAAAGTGAGCAAAAAATCAAAGACTTCCTCAATACAAAGCTTAATATACAAGAAAAAATTTTAATAGATAGAGCCCATCGAGTTGGAAAAGAAAACGGAAAAAACAGATCAATAATTGTTCGATTTCAAAACTACAAAGACAAAGCCCTAGTGTTAAACAAATATACGACGATGAAGCTATGGAACGAACGGTTGTACGTTAACGAAGACTTTAGCGATTTTACAATGGATTTACGCAGAAAGCTTCTCAAAGAAGCGAAAGAATTGAGAGCGAAAGGTAAGTTTGCTAAAGCAGTTTACAATAAATTAATTACGCGCGACCTATTATAAAGGAATTCTTTTAATACTCTATAATTAAATTTAAATACAAAAATGGATGACTACGAATCCATTACTTTTAATTTTCACGATAAGTACTTAAATTCAAATTTTAATTCAGATCCAGATGTCAACTTTTTTAATGATGTGAACACATGTTGTTCTTATTTTTATCCCAACGAGTTAAAAGAATTTCTTAATAAAAATGGCACTGAAAATCAAAAAATCAGAATCCTTCACATTAATATTAGAAATCTAAATACAAATTTTAAAAAGTTTTGCGATTTTTTAGATGAAACTGAAAATATTTTTAACAAAATTTGCTTAACAGAAACGTGGATTTCTTCAAATGATTTTAAAAATAATTCTATTTTCCATCTTCCAGGTTTTGAAACACTTTTTTTTTGAAAGAAAAACAAATAAACGCGGTGGAGTAGTTCTGATTTACGTTAAGGAACACATTGCACATAACATTAGGAATGATACGTGCCTTTCTGACGGTGATAAAGAAATCGTAACTATTGAAATTCTAAACAATAAAAAGAATAGTATTCTATTAAGCTGCTGTTATAGACCACCTGATGGTGCGTCTGAAAATCTTAGTTTCTTTTTACAGCAAAATATCATTCACAAAGGTAGCAAAGATAACAAAATTACTTTTATAATTGGAGATTTCAACATGAACTGTTTAATTTATAATAAAGATAAAAAAATAAAAAGTTTTTATGATGAAATACTTATGGCAGGAGCTGTTCCTTTAATTAATCGCCCTACTAGAATAACCAAAACTTCAACTACGTTGATTGATAAAATTTTTACAACAGATATTTATAATAGAAAATTAAAAAAAGGAATTATAAAAACCGACATATCCGATCATTTCCCCATTTTTCTAACAATCCATACTGTATCCTCTAATAACCCCGAAAGACAAAATATAATAAAAA